TCTCTAGATTGGTATGCTCAAGGCACACAGGATTATGAGTTTTCACTCTAAGAATCACTGCACTCAATTACATTTCTTATTTGGGATATTGAAACCTATTTCGAAAAGAAAAGGAAGTCTGTTACATTGAATACGATCGTCAAACGTGAGCAAATATGCGCACAACTCGCTCAAACGATACAAATCGTTTGAAGCTGTCAAGGGAACATGAAATTTTGAAGTGCGAAATAAAAATTTTAATCAGCCGTCCGGTCGAATTACGGAGCAACTGTGCTAACAAATAAAGCGATTTGTGAATTCTGCAAATACATTCTCACTTGGAATTGAGTTGTTCCTCTTGTAGGTTCAAGTGAGCTGTGAATTGTCTCAATTCCAGTTAACAAAATCATCCTATTGAATTAACTGTTCAGATTGGAATGAATCAGCATATCCACTTGGGTAATGCACTTTATGAACGATATGTAACACAGGAAAAATTTCTTGGAAAGTCGTTGAACTATTGGGAGGTGAGTAATTCGGTTCAATTCATTCGGTTGATCACAACTACTTAACTGGAATCAATCATCTGATGATCTGAATATTAACAGTGAACTAAACATTTTGATGATTCATGTGAATCGCAGAATTCAAGTGAATTGACTCTTTGGAACTTCAAGTGACCATTTCATTGAAGCTTCAAGCTTCTCGTGGTTGCCCTTGGGCCCATCTAGCTGATGCTCGCACAACAATAAAATCTTCATTCAGATGTACATTCGATCAACTGATGTCAATCGAACACTAATCTCTGCCTACTCAAATTTAATTGGTATGTACTACGGCCGAACAGAGGCTGAACCAAACAAAAATTATCCTAATAATACGCGATGGCCTGGGCAACTGGTGCCTTTTCCAGTTCACAGCGTAGCTAGAGATACAGATTATGTAAGTAATTGCCTAATGATTCTTTGTTGGTTACACGGGTAAATCGCTCTCGCGTTCAGTTGTTCTTTTTATCGACTCTTCTCATACTGATCTGCAATGTTAAGCAATGTTTTCAAGTGAAAAGCTTTTATCTGGGTATACAACACTGAGATCAGTTCATTTCACCAAAGTTATATACGTCTTTAGAAGCTCCGAAAAAGATTTCTCAGAATATTATCAATCATTTAATATTGCTGCCTTAGGAATACAACTCTCACGATACAAAAGATCGAACTACATCAACTGTCGCAAAAAAGAAACTTTGAGTTTCTGAATTGGAAAAATTTTTCAACAACACCTTTGAAATGAAATAGAGAATAAATCTTCGTTCACTGAATTTAAGGCCGGTGATCCGCTAGCTCCGAATTGTCCAAGACTTTATTGGTTGCTGGATAAATCGAAGGAAACACCTGAATATATCAAACTCCGCAACGATAGTCAGGTAGGATTGTTACCGGAAAAGTCTCTCTCGTAACACTGAATGCAGAGGAAGCACCTGAAGTCTGGAACTTTTTCTTCAGTTCGGCATTCACTTGAAGTAGCATATATAGATCAGATGGAACGCTTTGCAGAAATTCCTCGATTGGCTTACAGAAGTGTGCGGTGAGGAGGTGGACTTGATACGATTGTGGGACATACGTGATGCTACATTCATTGAGGTACACTGATCTTCTGCCCTGATCATATCTACGAAGACGCATTCCTAGCTCTCTCGTCTGCTGGAATGGAATTTCCTCGCATGTTAACCTCATCCCTGATTCTTGACCAGTGTTCGTTGGGGAGCATTTACTTGGCTAGTAAAGGGGTAAGAGGGGGGGGAAGGGGAGGATCTCGGCAGAAACCGAGTTCTCTGATGATGTCTGCGCATGATTACGAGTTCGCTTGCACCCAAAAACATTGATCAAGCCTCGTGGTCATGAACTGATTCCTTTATCCTTCATATCAAATATCGGAAGGTTTATAAATGGAAGCTATAATTTCGATGCATGAATCAATGCTTTGGAAAACATAAATTCAAATTCGTTTCCAGAAGTAGACCAATGTTCTGTCCCGTTTAATGAAAAGAAGTATTTGCTAAAGAAAAAACTTTTTTTTCACATTATATTGTCAAAAGTTCA